TGTTACCCATTATGCTGTACCAACCATTTAAATGTATTTTTACACCAAACCTTTTTGTTTCATAGCCTAAATGTTTTACCTTTTGTGGCGCCCAGATTTAAACTGAAAACCTCTTGATCTGTGATCAGATGCACTGAGCTACACTCGTATATAATCAAGGACATTTACTATGTAACTTAACACAATAAATAAAAAGCTGTTTAGATCTTGCTATTTTTGCCAAAACTAAAAGAACAGCCAACAAAAGTCCTGCCTTAAAAGCCATTGTCCAGGAGCAAAAAAATTCAGTCTTGGTTGCTTGTTTTTGTTTATTGGCAGCTTTTTTCAGTTTTTCTTTCAGTGTGTCCTGAATTTCAGTTTCACATTTCAGTTTGCAACACTTTTGATAAACATACCAACACTTTGGTGAAGCTGAGTAGTGTAAAATATACAAAAAAATGCTAATATACTGTACATTCAAAACACTTGCTTCAATATCTGGCCATTGGCTTCTGTTCTAAGTGGTTTCAGGTCAGCAAGTTTTCTTTTTACAGGGAAATTATCTGTGATTGCTGCAGATGGAGATTAGGCTGAAAAATATTGCAGTATGTCTTTCAATGAAAAGTAGGAGTAAAAATAATACATTATCCCGAAATCTTTAATGGGCAGTGTATTTCAGTGTATGGCAAATGCTAGATTTTCAAAAGCTAATTTAATGTATTCGTGAGATACCTGCCTCATCCTGCCTTTAAAGCACCCATATGGACACTCTTCATTTGACCTTACAGTGCATGAACCCTAACAACCTGGCTTAATTTAGTAACTACCTTGCGCACCCCTGCACTTTCTCAAAGACTTCCAACTTCAGAAATGCTGATGTAGGATGACTTCTACTTGCACATGCATGCTTAAACTGCATACCCAACTCTCTCTCACACATATAGATTGCTCTCAGGAAGAAAAGAAGTCCACTTTGAAATGAAAATAAATAAATCATATTTCCCTGATTGAAGCACAGCTCCCCTCACAGCCACAAACATAGCATTACTGTGACAATGCTGTCCCGCATGGACTTGTGAGTCTATTTGCAGGCAAGTATTAAGTCAAACTCGCTCATCCAAAAAAACCCTTGCTCCCAAAACAGAATGCCTCTCTTACCACTCCTTTCCTCTCCCTCTCTCGTCCTGCATTGCTGAAATAGTTTCCTGGCTGGCAAAAATTTAACATTGGGTCCTTCTTTTCTTTCCTTCGTCCTTTCCTTTTCCCCCCTCTCTTTATCTCAGCTGGCCACCAGGGCAGTTAAAAGCAAATAAAATCGTTTAGTGTGGAGTTAATGCAGCAAGAAACAAGTCATAAGCGGGATTTTATCAAGGCCATAAAGTGCGTTTCAGCAAGAAAATGGGACATGCCCGAATCACTGTAAAAAAATGCCATCCTGGCCTGAGAAACAAATCATTTCATTCTTTCCTTTTGTTGCCATTACAAGTCTCTTATTCTATGTGGCTAATCAAGACTGAGAGAATTCTTGAAGGACAGAAATATGTCTCCAGTTATGCTGGTGTAAAACATTAGCCTCTATTCTCTCTCAGACAAGCTTTCTGTTCTTGATGTCAGTGGCAGAATTAGCAGAGGAACTGCAAAGAAATTATATCACCCCCCTGTATTCCATAGGGTCTCTCTCTTTCTCTTGCTCTGCATCTAAAGACTACAGAAGCAGCACAACACTGTTTTACCTCAAGGACAAAGGACAAAGTTCTTTCTATAGCACATATTAAAGTGGCCATATCCTGCATTTCCAACTAGGTGGAATTAAACAGGCACTTTTGGTTCATCAGTGCCTGATGCGTCGCATGCCCAAAAATATGTATGAACCAGAACATCTAGTTGGACATTTCATTCTAAACCTATGGGCATTGCTATAGAGTTGGTCCCTCTTTTGCTGCTACAGCGGTATTTACTCTCCTGGGAAGGCTTTTGGAACATGGCTGCAGCGATTTGTTTTGATTCAAATGCAAGAATATGTAAGGGCCAGGGCCTGATGTTGAGCAAAAAGGCCTATTTCACAGTCGGCATTTACATTTCATTCCAAGGATTTGGGATGAGGTTGAGGTCAGGCATGGGTGCAGAGTAAAGTTCTTCTCACTTTGTGCATTCGGTGTTTATAAAACTAAAGGGCTTTCCACAAACTGTTAGTAAAACGTTCAAATCACACAGTTCTCTAGAATGTCACTGTGTGCTGTAGCATTATGAACTCCGTTTACTAGAAATAAGGGGCTAAAATCATTAAAAATAGCCCTAGAACATAATTCACCCTCCATCAAACTTTACAGTTGGCACTGTGCATTGGGGCACGTAGCGTTCTCCTGTTATTCACCAAACCCAGATTTGTTATCAAACTGCCAGGTAGCAAAGCGCAATTCATCACTCTAGAGAATGTGCTTCGAAGTTCTGATTGTATGCTTTACGTCACTCCAGGGTTTTGAAACCCTGACAATGTTTACATACTTCATAAACCATTTTTTTCATGATATAGGCACTTTACAGCTGAAACAAAACAAATGTAAGAATAAGCACCTCTGAGATGCAAAAAGTGAGCTTTTTCTTTTAATTTTGACCAGAAGCAGTAAAGAAGTTGTACCCTCACTCACTCTTAGGCCAGCACAAACCCACTACTCTCACCATCTGGCAACCAGTGCATTGCCATGCTCTTGTGTGGTTAAGCCTGAATAAAGACGCACACACTCATACATGCCCAGCTTCTTCCATTCTGCCTATCCACAGTTCACGCTGGGGTCCCAGCATCCTCCATCTTCGGATCATCCTCTCCCCTCTTCCAAAGGGCGTCCTGGGGTTTAGAGCACAAAGGATTGCTCTCTCACTCCCCATGTAGGTCAGCCCCCCACAGGGCTCCCTGTGTGCCAAATCGGACGCTGTTCATGGAGGATATTGCAATCAGCATCTTCTTCCAGTGTATCCAACATGTCCCAGTAACCCCCTGCTTTTCTGGCCAGTAGGCAAAAGGCAGTGGAGGTTGGGGGGGTTAGCCTCTTTTGAGTGTATGACAGGCAGGCGGGTAGTGGCTGTCTTCTTAACAGGATTACACAGTAAGCATGGCCACAAGACACACTTGCATGGAGAAAGAGACTCCACGCCTTACACACACACACACACACACACACACATACACATACACACACATACATACACACAGCCAAGACCCTACATTGGCCTCTGTGCTTTTGTGTGAGTAGGAGTGGGACTTTGTGGATCTGTATGCACTAAAGAGTTGGAGAGTTTAGAGTTTAGGGAGCTGCTGGCTGTAAATCCAATATCAAAACGATAATAATAAAAATGTCTTTACATGTTTCGGCAGCAGATATATCGATCACGCCTAGTGTGCACTCATGCACATGCTTCTCAGTTAGCCTCAGGGGATGGGCTACCCTCAGAAGTGTGAGAAGCATAAAGATTCTGTTGGAAAGCCTGCATGCCTATGTCTGTAGGCCGGAACTGTGGAGAGTCTCTGTTAATGAGGGTGAAATTGCAGTACCACTATTGCAGCCTTCCAAGCCCTCCGGGGGAATACGTCCATTGTTAGTCGCTACAACCATCCATGTGGTCAGACAACTGTCTCCTCAAACCAGGCGTGAGATGCTCGAGTGTTGTGCTGTTGTCTATGATTGTGGCCATGGTATGAATATAGACCTTTGCATGCCAATGCTGGCCAGTCAGCTACATGCCACGCTCAGTTTAAAGTTTTCCTTTGATGCTTTGGGCTTCCACAAGAGGAGATACGTAACTTCATCTGCGTCTTGACAGACACATCTTCCATTAGTTATGGTGCTATCTCTTCAGCTATGTGCTGTAAGGCTTTTCCCTGCAAAGTGACACACACTAGTCAGGCTGGCCCTGTCTCCGTGAGTCCTGTATCCCTGTGCCTGCTTACATAAACCACCTAAAGTCAATTCCAATTGTGGCAGACCCGGTCTGATGTGGATATATTTAGCATTGCGTTCTCTTTATCTTTTTTAACCGCTGTGTTTTGCTTCCCGGCCCTGCATACCCAAGCAGCAATAAAAGATTCATGTATTCCTGCCCTCCGGTGGTGCAGTGGCACACTTACTTTACATCCTGAGCAATTAATGTCCACTAGATCCAGAGTACAATGCAGTGGTCTCACTTGGGCCATTTAGGGTCAGTTCTGCTGGGGACATAGTTGCATCACTAACCTCAGATCAGCGAGAGGCTATGGCCGGGAACAGTGGTCGTATCAGTTTTACTTTCGTGTGCCTGCCCCCTAATGGTTTATTGATTGTGTACGTAGTGGGCTTTGCTGTGCACAAGTCTTTCTCTCCCAGTCTCTCTCCATCTCTCTCTTTCTGTCTCTCTCTCTCTCTTTCTGGAAAATTTGCCTTTTCTCTCTGGAAAAGTGCCAGCACCGAGGCTCTTGAGGGTTTTAACGGCACAGAAGGCTATATGCCACTGAGAGCCAAGGTCGTGCTGTGCCACCATATTGTCTTTTATGAGAAGGTGGGCAGCACTAACTACTGATATGGCCTCATGTTTGATTTATCACTCTTGCCAATGGCATGCAGATCTGCAGCAGACTGCTTTCCAGAATCTTAATACCCTTAGCAAGGTTTATGGCCTTTATCGATATGTTTATCATACCCCTGAAACTATTAGCAGGTACCATGGTATATCTTTTATGAACATAATCCTGTCTCAAGGTGTGAAGTCTTGTGTTTCCAGGCAAATGCCCTAGACTTCGACTTTTTAGACTACTCACTAGGGGTATTAAGTGTTAACAGCTGTCTTTGGGCTGGCTTTTAAACTCAGTGGGACTTGATGAATAAATATTGCTAACAAAGGGGGTTATAGAACCCAAGTATCTGTAGATGTTGATATCATTTGAGAGTGACTTCCTCTCTATTTGCATCATTTAATTCATGCTTGACGATGCAAACCTATATTAAAAAGTCAGTTTAAAATGAATCTCTCTTTCTCTGCATTCCATACAGGTGACCCCAGTAGCCGGACCTCCGGAAGGGGGCACAAGAGTGACCATCCACGGGGTGAACTTGGGTCTGTCCTTCTCAGAAATGGTGGATAATGTGCAGGTGGCAGGAGTCCCGTGTACCCCAAAAGAGGATGGTTACATCATTGCCGAACAGTAAGTCCTTAAACAATCTGGCCAAGCAGATACAGAGGGCCTACAGAGTAATGAGAAATGTGGAAAAAAAATTTCTGAGCATATAATAGTTTCATACACCAGCTTTTATAGAGACGGCTAAGCTGATCTGTGATGAGCAGAAATGACAATAAGGCTGACTTTGACTTAACTGGTAAATTTGAACATAAAACATTATCATGGTTAAAATCACAAAAACAAATAAAATGCACACAAACCTAACTTTTAGCATGAGGATTACAAGTTAGAGGAACATAATATTATTGGGATGTAAGGGGAACTAATGAAAATTAATAGCACATTAAATCAATAAACCAATGAAACCAGTAAAAATGCTAAACTCCACTCACTGTGCTACAATATTTGGATTATTTGAGACATTCGAGTCGTATTTGACAATTCGTAGTCAATAATTGACAGTCATAGCAGTTGGTAACTAAAACTATTGAACACTGTTTCATTTTTGCCCGCATTAAAAAATATTGGCTGATATTCTTGATTATTAGAGTTTTGTGCTCTGTAAAATAAGTATCCCTAGGAGTTCAGCACTAAAATAAGCCTGAAATCCTGCTGTTAATATGCAGCCAGACCAGTAAGAGGAAATTCCCAGAATATTCATGAATATCCCTATATGTCAATGAAACAAACTGTGTCATGTTTAGACCCAAAAAAAAGGAATCTAGTTTAGCTTATCTTTGATCCATCTCAAAATAGAATGTGCTGGAAAAAAGGCATGTCCTACATTAACCATACTGTCGAACAGAAAGAGGATCTGTTTCAAATAGAACACTTGCTCTTTCTCATCCACTCTAAAACAGCATTGTTTGTACACTAACCAGGACCAAAAGCATCCAATTAGAGTTGTCATAACAGTAAGACATGTGATCTGCTTCATAAGGGGTGTTCATGAGATTCTGCTCTGCTCCAGTGAACCTGCTGGCAGTTCTCTCTTCACACAGGAACGTCTTCACAAAGGCACTACAAACAACTTATGATGGACAGCATCCCTGTTGACAGCAGTCGCAGACCCTCTTGAGCAGAAAAAGGGCCTAATTAGAAAGGAGGGCAGACCTGGCAAGCCTCTGTCTGCAGGATAGCTATCCACCCCATACCACCCCCCACCCCTCCGTGATCCCTCAGCATCTGTTTGTGTTTACTCGTTTAATTTTGCTGAACGGCTAGTTAACCCTCCCCTCCCAGACCTCTGCAAATAATCCCTGTGCCAGCATTTTATATGTGCCTATTGGGCAATACTGCAGAAACAGAACAATACAACATTGTCCAACTTGGTTTTACATTTAAAAACCCTTTTTTGTCAACATTCAGTTAGACTTGCCCCACTTTTGTCCCAGTTACTACAAAAGAACACATTTGTGGGTGGTGCACGGATTGTAGAGATGCACCAAATTTCTGTCACTGAAAGTTTTGGCTAAAAATGGACCAAACAAGAAAAAAAAGTGACCAAAAAAGGTTAAATAGGCTTCAATCAGGTGTCAAAATATCAGAATTAATAATATTTTTTATGCCAATGAACTTTTCTTTTCACTGTTTATGAGGGTACAACACTCAAGAACATCATTCTTGATATGCAGAAAAGAGCAAAACAACAGAATCAGAAAATAAAGACCCTGCAAGCAGCCAGTTTTTGAAAAGACAGATAAATTCACCAACAACAGTGGTAAAGTGCAAACTAAAAATAATGAAATTCATTGCCAAGGGTGACCAACCATTCTCGGTCATCTTTTCATCTTTTTTTTTTGGTTCAGCGTGTTCTAAATTTAAGTTTTGGCCAAGAATTTACATTTCAGGGCATCACCAGTCAGTTGTTAGCTGTACCGTTCTGTGATCTTTCAGCATCTCTTTGTGTTTACTTGTTTAATTTTGGCCCTACTGTAGAAAACAGTACACTGATGCTTCCTCTGTTTACCTTGGTGCACATGTTCCGGTCACCTACATACCGGTCTGTTTTCAAACACAGTTCACTCAGCCTTAAATAGGCTTCTCTTCACACTCACGCTCACCCTGCAGTCTTCTGGCTGACCCAAAAAGACCTGGAATAGAGCAAGCACGATAGCGGGAGCAGGAGAGAGAATTGAGAGAACGAGAATACCAGCCACTAGGGGCTCATAAATGGTGGTGTGCTAACAATGAAACATTGCTCTGTGGACAGATCTATACCTCCCCTTCTGCTCTCCATGTGGTTGTTACCTTAACTCAACTGTGCCCTTTTCCTGCCCTTGCACTAAAACAGCACAGCTACAGGAGGAAGACATTAAAACTACATCCTTATTAAATATATACCTATATTGCCTTGATTTGCTCATTTCTGAGTTGCAAACCTACCTAATTAGAACACACAGAAAGCATTAAAAATTGTAGCTCAGTGTATGCACACCAACAAATTAATTATCTGATTTTGGCAGTTACTAGATTATCCAAATGGTCATGTGAACAGCATACTGTGATATATATATATATATATATATATATATATATAGAGAGAGAGAGAGAGAGAGAGAGAGAGAAGATAAAGAAGAGCTACTCTCGAAGCAGCAGTCATGCACAAAGAAAGACTGCATTATGTGCAGTCGATAAACATAAATATTCCCAAATGAATCTTTGCTGCAAACATTGGAGTTTGATATTATTTATTTCCTTCTTCACTTTGTTAATTAATGGTTGCAAGCAACTATATAGATGAATATGTCCTGACTTAGAAAGAAATTGGATAATTCTCATGTAGACCGAGAGTTTTCCCATCAAATTACTCAAGTACATGAACATTTGGTAAGTTATTGCCAAAATCTGATTCTTTACAATTATCGGATTATTTTGTGCATGTAAACATTCTGAGAAAAAAAGTAATCTTCTGTGGAAATACAGTACAGTGCAAAGTAAGAGACATTTGTTGTTAAAACAGCCATCAAGTACAAGTTTTTCAGCATCAGGAGAAAAAGCAGAATTCATATATTCAACAGAGAATTACACAGAAGCCACAACATTTTTAAGTATTCGGTGTGTTCATCCTTAGCCTTCTTATCAGGTTTTCAAAGAAATCTGAAGGGATATTTTTCCACACTGCAAAACTGAGTATTAGAAATTGGCTGCATTTGCTGCTTCTCACAACCCAGGTTATCACTGTGATGTTAAGGTCAGGGCTCTGGACAGGCAAATTTCCCCTGTAATGGTAGCGGACAGAAAAAGATGCTCACAGACAAGGCTAGTTTTAAGAGCTTTATAAACAAAGGGGTGATCCAAAAACACAGTTGTAACCCCGAAAAATAAGTTTGAAAACCGGAGATCCAAACCAGAGCTTAGGACAAGGCAAAAATCAGGGGCAAAAATGGAAAACAGGTCATACACAGAAACAGTTAAATACACAAGAGAACAGGTGAATGTAATTAAAAGTCTGGAGAGGCCAAACGGTGATAGGTGGACCTGGTTGAGTCCTACGTCATGTGAGGGAGCAAGGGGTTCTGGTAAATGCAGTTTGAGGTGGTCGAGTCGGCTGTAGTTCCAGCCGGGCCGGAAGGAGACGTGACACCCCTTTAGTGTTGAGTTGTCTTCTCACTGTGTATGGATCTGCAGAAACACCTGTGGATTTGTCCAGATCTGAAGAAGCTTGACTTTCTCCTATGTGTAAAGATGAAAGATTTAAGTACTGTTTCTGTGATGGTGACAGTTTGGGTGGTCTGCCAGGTCACGGTTGTTAGGAGACCCAGTTTATCTGAACTTCTGTTTTCACTTACTTTTCTTTGACTTTCCACTTTCTAATGCAACTGAATCATCTTATATCTAATATCCTCAGAAATATCAAATGAAAAAATGAATAACTTGTACTTTAATAGTTTGTTTCCAGTGTTTTGATTGGAAATTAAATAAATGAAGGGTCTTATCTGACTTTTGCACAGTACTGTATGTCTTCCAGGTTTCGAAATGCATTTATAACCGTTAAAACATCCAACCAATACATGCCTTTTGGTCAAAACTCATAAAAGAGGTACAGCTTAAACAAGGTATCGTGATATAGTCATCGAGCTGACTTCTGAGTGCAACATACATAGTTTGCGATTGACTGTGAAAGATATTGTGTCCTACAGAGTATGTTTACCTAATAAAGAAGCAGCAGAAAGTATGTACACACTACACTCTGATTTACACGTTCTGAAGTGTGATCACAGATGGCCACTTGTAAGACGCTATGCTACATGTACTATGCAGCTGATATGATGTGCTGAGGCCTATTAAACTGAGTGAATCACAAGATTTGTTGACCTTCGGCAGGCTTTCTACCGTGACCTTATTTCAAAGCAAATCTCTGGAGATGCAGAAGGTTGGCCCTGACTCCCAACCCAGTACACAGTGCAGTTTGTGAGCTGAGCTTGTGTGGGTGTGTTTCAGGGGGTCTATAAATAGTGCTTGTGTCCAAGCTGGTTCTTTCTCCCAGCTCTGTGTAGGGTTGTAGGCAGAGGCAGGCCGAGGCAGCTGTAATTGAAATGCGTGGCGTGCTGCCGGCTGCAGGGGGGAGATTTGTCAGCCCCGCACCCCTCTGACAGCAGTTTAATCCGAGCGGGACGGAGCTGGAGTGAATTCATTTGTATGGAGCCATGGAGGAGTGTCAGCAGGAAATGAGAGAAGCAGCGCCAGAGCCCGTCAAAAGTGTACCCAGTACAGAAAGGAGAAAGAGTTCTTCACCTGGGCTGCAGGTGCCTCTGCTGGACTGGGCATTCTCCGCTCCATGGACTCATATGCCATCAGAGAAGGCATACAGTTAAACTCTCTTCCAAACATCTTAACATCCCACTGGTGATACACTGAGAGACTTTGATGATGGCCGGTTTAAATCATTACAATCTAGTTTGGAATGGTGCCCTCTGTATGCTACTGGGTTTTCTATTACTGTATAAAAGAAGCACAGTGCTGCCTTTTTTGTTGAACGTGCTGTTTCTGAATTTAGATAGCTAAGATCACAGTAAAGGTGACTGAAGTGTGAAGTTTATTACTACTTAAGTTAGCTTGTTCAGAAAGGTTGGCTTTGGTAGATCATGTACTTTACGTATCAACACAGACTTGAGTGCTTAGAAGTCACATTGTTAACAGAGAACAGTAGCTTAAAAAACTGGTAAATTTACCATGCACTCTAAAAACAAAAGTTTCCTGGAAAATCTTTTAGGGGTTTTTCAGTTTGTCACAGTGAAGTAACCCTTAAGAATGCATCTAGAAATCATTTTTGAATCTGTTCTTTGAGGTATCGTTAAAAATGTTTCTGTAGATACCTCTTCAGTCACCTCATTATTATTATGTTATCATTATTATTATTATTATTATTAGTAGTAGTAGTAGTAGTAGTAGTATTAACTTTATTAATAACATTATTATTGTTTCAAATATTGAGAAAAATAGTGAGTGATAATAGGCAAAAATGCATTTATTGATTACTTAACAGAAGTCATGTATGAACAGTATGATAATCCACTGATTCCACTGATTCCTTTACAAGGAAGTTGCCCACAGGAACGCACTATAGGACGTTGTATTTGCATGTAGTTGTGTGACCCAGTGGAAATATCTCCATACATTGGCCATACACTTGCTGGCATCCCTCCATGCCATAAGTCACTGAAACAGCAGGGATGTAACACAAACACTGCCCCCCCACGTGCTGAAAGCGATCGTGATTGCCTTGCATTCTTTACTACTCCCTGCAAAGAGTCAGTCGATGAGCAGCGCATTTTTATTATGTCATTTGATCTGGCCACCCGCTGGTATGGGTGACACCTGATCAGACAGTACGATAAAGCAGTATTGATCTACTGCAGCTACTCGTTGTGATTTGCACAACCCATGCTGTTGGTGCAGTGGTCCATGGCGCTGTTAGGGCCTGTATTTATGGCGGTATGGGATCACAGTGAGGTTGTGCAAAGCTGTCCACTTTGGCTTCACACAAGAAATTTCTGCTGTTGGAATGTATGCAGAATATAAAAGGCCTAAAAGAGAAAATGACAGTGATAGACAGGAAATCAACAAGGGAATAAGGGATACTGATCACTTACTAATGGTGGACTTTATCGATCATCAAGACAGCAGTGTGTAGGTCAGGATAACACAGTCTGCTCCTCTGAAAATGATAGTAACAGGGGTTATTTAGCAGAATCATAGATGCAGTACTTTAAATACTGTGTATTTTTTGTTTACTTTTAGGATAGTGTGCGAGATGGACGCGGCCCCAGAAGACACCAAGCCCGGCCCTGTGCAGCTATGTGTGGGCGAGTGTAAGCCTGAACTGCAGGCCCGCTCTTCCCAGCTCTACTCTTTCGTGGTAAGACTTGAATTACCAGCATGCCACTGAATTATGCAAGGCGGAGGTGGTAGCACTTGCTGTTGTTTTGGTATCATGAACTCGCACATTAGCAGCTGCACTTTTGGGAGCTCACAGATCATGACTCTGAAAAGTGTTATGCGTTTAGACAGGTGAACTTTGCAGAGGTAGATGAAACTTGAAGCTTTGAGTAGCAGCAAAATGCATGCATGTTACATCCATAGGGATAGTCCATTTCCATCATTGCCTCACTCTGCATAAAGTTAAGCTTGATCAAATCAACTTATTGTTCCTTCCTTAACCCAACAAGAAAGCGGGCTCCCAAATATTAAGATGGATCACTTTTTTCAAGACATTTTTGAAGCCTGCGTGTTTTACTTTATGTAACTCTTCAGAACACTACAAAAGTATCTTGGCAAGTAAAAATGAATGTAGTTAGAATAATATTTTTTTATTTTTTGAGATTATTGTAAGAATTTTCCAAGATAATTCAACTTATTTCTGGATGGTTTTACATGTTTTAAGTCATTTTATCTATTCAAAATAGATTTTACTTGTTTGAAGACATAATACAGATAATTCTGCTTTGTTTGCAAGAAATAATGATTGAAACAAGCAAATAATAATAAGCAAATAATATTTTAAATATATAGATTTCAGATTTCTAGATTTCAGATGACCTCACTAACCAAAATATCAACTTTTGCAGTGAAAGTTGGGTTGCAAAAAAATGTGTTGGTTAAATGATAATGTAGCGTAGCAATAGACCGGCCTGCATTATTTTGACCAAAAATTATTTACTTTTGTTGGATTACATAAATACCTTGGTTCATCAAAACACTCACAGAGACACTCGTCTGGATGCGCAATTGGCCAGTATGCTCACAGCACATTAAATGTAATAATTAATTAATATAATCAGATTACTCTGCTACTCTGTTATCAGATTAACTAGGACACTCAGTGTTTGCTGTCTGTGTGTGAAATGTTGGGTTGAGCTGCTATGAGCAATGAGGGGTAAAAGGGAAGGAGTGAGAAGCCCCTGCTGTAAAAATGACACAAAGATGGCCTCCTTAGTTAGAATAGACAGTGCAATTGCAGCTTTCTTGTTAACAAAAAAAAAATAGCATTTAAACACAATATAAACACTTGTAGAATTGTAGAAATGTTTAGAAATTTGCTCAAATGCAAAGATGGAAATCAATTTTACTTCTGGTTTTGTAACTACATAGTTTCATTGAACTATAACAGTGTTACTAAAGACTAAAAAGAGTTCAACTGAGGGACCTCCTCCTAAACATGTGGAAATTTGCACTGGATGTCTATTGTGAAAAAGGGTTAAAAGGACTGTAATTGGTTAGATGCCTATTTACATATCACTGCCTTCTGCAAAGGCCAATGTCATGATAACAAATAACTAACAGTATACTCCATAACCCTACCAGAAGGATACCAAGGCCTTGCTTGTGTATGTGATTGCTATAACAAAAATAAATCCATAGCAGTGGCTTTAAGCATCAGCACTTGAAGCTGACCCGTAGCTTGTCCTGACCATTATTTGGGAGATAATGCCCTTGCATAACAGCAGAGTAGCAGGGTCTCTCTGTTAATGTGTTTTAGAAGGACCTCTTCAAGCCAGTCTGCAGCTATTACAAGCGACTAAGTCAATAAATTAGACTTTTATGGCTGATGCTGCCTTTTTATCTGGGCTGCGATTTGCTCCCACACACAAAAAACATTTATTTTAATCATTTTAGTAGATTTAGAGCAATGTGGTGCTTAGTGGCTAATGGCATTATTTACATACTTACTTGTTCAGCGTAATTAAAAGCAGTGTGCTTATGTTTAATGATCTAATGCAGCTAATGCATTCGTGATGGAAAAGGCTGAACTGAATTGAGTTTTGCAGATCCTTCAGATATAACATTACAGATTATTACAAATTACAGCCTATGCTTGCCATTGTATTTTTTCCCAGCAGAATAAGAGCTTCCTTGGCTGGAGAAACGAAGTGACAACATATTCAACATAATAGAATTTGTTTTCAGTTATCGAAATACAGAGTGATTATAAACACGCAGCACCATGGGGAGAGTGCATTGAACACGCAGACAATGAAAGCTATTAGCTGAATCAAAGGAAGGATGGCAGCCACATTTCCCTCTGCCGAAGAGCACCGGAGGGGACACTTCTGCGCCACCGTTCTCACACATGCACGCGCAAAACTACCCGTCCCACAGCAATTAACAGCTGCTGGTTATTAGCTGAGCGTTTTTATTACGATATGAGTTTGTGTAGCCCCTCTCCCCACCTCCACCACCACTTCTCACTCTCAGTGTGTGTCTCTGTGCGATTGTGTGCAATTTTTAGCCTAGGCTTCTACCACCTGCACCACCTTTCATATCACAGTCGCACATAAAAACAGCGTGTTATCACCAGCGCTCTTCCAAATGTTGTTGGACAACAGAACAGAATCCCTGAGCGGCCCGCCTGTTTTCATATCAACACAAGCTGAGACACAAAACGGTGTTAATGTATTTTTAGTCCGTGCGCGTGTGAAGTCGGCCACCAGCCATTTTCATGTGCTTTTCTTGAGGCTCAGAGCTGTCTGCTTATATATTTCTCCATCTGCGTCTCTTTGGAGACTGAAAATACGCTCTGTTTTCAGGCTGTGTTTTAAGATGTAGGGAACAGAGTGGAGCGAACTAGGAGGGTTAAGCAAGGAAATGGGCACTACAGGGTTCAGGAGGAGGGCTTTAAAAGCCTTGTTTGTATCCTGGGCTCTGCTTTCATAAGCCTTTATCACTCCATTGGGGCCTTTTTTGTTCATTTTCACTCTCTCTTGACTCCTAAGTCTAAAATTAGAAATTCCGAAATTTGGAAAAGCAGGTGTTCAGAACAGCCTGGTGTGTCAGCATCTTACTAACCCTCTCTTTCTATCTCTCTCTCTCTCTCAGACTCCCTCTGTGACAGGCTTGTCCCCCAGCCGGGGTCCAGAGTCAGGGGGCACTAAGGTGACCGTAATTGGGGAGAACCTAGGCGCCGGCAGCAGTGTCAACGTGCTCTTCGGGAACCAAACCTGCGAGTTCTTTGAGTAAGAGCTTGACTTTGTCTTCAGTCTGTGCACTGTTGCTTTTGTGCACTGTTAGGGATGCACAACATACACCTGGTATTTAAGTAACAATGGGTATCAGTATCAGACTGATATCTATAGAAAATGCTTGATTGGATATCGAAGGGAAAAAAATCTGATCAAATCCTTGTCAAAATCAAGCCTGAAAAAGTACATGCTCACATTATGTGATTAAGGTCTTAAGTGAGGTAAAAATGGCTTTGTAATTTGTAAAGGAAAAAATATTGTATCATTATTAGCTGACTCCTAAGGTTTCAGTATCCATATTGGTAGTGGAAATGAAAAAGAAAATCTCTTAGTTATAATAATTTTAATATGAGCATTATTACTAAAAACATTAAATGCCATTAAAATCATGTTTATGTTTTAAAGTTGTTTGTTTAATAGCAGGAAATCACTAATTTTAATAGACTTTTAATGACTGCATGTTCTTATACCACTCTTGGTGAAGAAAGCTAAGCTTGACTGTCAGTCATATCCAACAATTCACAGTTGACAACTAACAGTGTAGTTACATTAGCCAGTATTATCGGTTGTCAGAATGTTTTGCTCCATAGCTTGGTATCAGAGACAAAATAGTCATATTGGTTGGGCACTAACTGAAGGAAACTGCTTACTTATGTCTTGCTGCAAAAGTGAAAAAGTAATAGTATCACCAGTGTTTTTTAACTCAGAATTTCTTTGATGACAAGCATCTGTGTTTTAGTGGATAAGGAGCATCCTCCTGAAAGAACAGGTTTAATCCCTTAGGCTCTGTCAGCTGACGTCGGTTGATATTTCTTACTCTTGTAACTATTCTTCTTACATATAGGGATGCACTAATATGGGAATTGTGGGCTGATACAGATGTACAATAGATTTCATGTGTGTCAATAAATATTTGTAAAATCTACAAATCGGGACTGAATCTGCCTGGATTAGCAGTACAGAGAAATTTAACATTTATTTGTATCAGGTTACAAATGCAGTAAAATTAATTAAATGCTGACATTTAGCACAGTAGCCCAGCGAAACCTAAACATACTGCTTATCCAGAGTGCTACAAATATGTTATCAAATAATCTAAACATCTGTCTGATGCTGATCTTTTCTTTTCAGCAATTACCTGCCTGTACCTACTTACATAGTAGTAACATAGTGCTTACTAAATAATTCATAGTAGTTACTGGATAATCAGTATAACAGCTGGATAATAATTTATAAGGGGTTAAACAGTTTTTTCCTATCCTACTTCATAAACAGCACATGCTATTAGAAATAGAACAGTGACCTCACCCCCTGTTTGTATCTCATGGCCTATGCTGAGTGTCTATATTATGATGTGAAGAACTGGGCATGCAGTTTTTACTTTCACCTCCTGCTCTCACTCCTTACATCCCTCTCTTTCTCCCTGTTAGTCTCTGAAGAGCTGTCCACCCCCTCATCCTGTGTCGCAGACTTGTGTAAATCTTAATAAGCTTCTGATGACCTGCTGCATTCAACTTCTGTAATAATAGCCTGCAGTCAGACTGTGTGCTCTCTGAGCTTTCTCCTCTCACTTTACTCTCACTCCTCTATCTGCTCTCACTCTCTCAATGATTCAGCTACTTGCCTGTCTAAATATGTCCTGCATCTTTGTCTCTTTCATTCTCTCTCTGTTTTTCCCTGTCTTCAGATATCTAATTAAAAACAGCAATGGAAAGCTGATTATAATGGTGTTAGGAACAGAAGTCTATCATGTTTTAATGAGATATTGGCTAACTACAGACCTCCATTTGCCTCTTTCTTTCTGGCATTAGAGTGAAATATGCTTACGTATGTGTGCTCAAGACTCTGGAGTAAATACTCAGACATGCTGTCAAAGAATGATTCATGCATGCTAGTTGCTAGTTGCATGCTAAAAATTCCAATAACAAATATGAATTGCTGCTACAATTTTATATGGTCCACTCCAGAATTTTTGGAATTTCTAGACCTCTTTAGTGGAAATGTGTAATTGCATGCAATGTGCAGAACATTTTGTAACATTTGTTGATGAATTGTGATGATTGCGAGTGTGTTAAAAGAGTACTCAAAGAGAGCTCAGTCAAAACTTTGATGAATGGCATGACTTCTGAGGGTGTAAGGGAATTATCTACTTTTGTCATTGTATCTTTAGAAGTATTATGTTGATTTTGCAATAGAGATCTAAACTTTAAGCCAGAACATTTTTAGAGCCTGTGCATGTGACATTAATGTGTAAAGATGTATGACGTGGTCCAAAACCTCCTGCGAAATCCTACCTAACACCATTTGTTACCCTGTTATCTGATATGATGCCAACATCATTGTAATTTTTACCATAATGGTGTTTATAAATTTATTAAACCCATATTGTTGCTTAATTAGCTTAGGAGTCTCTGCAAAAATGAGCATAACAGCATGGAAATCATTATAGTGCTCAGAAATTGGTAATACTACTCATATACTTGTTATACAATAAATAATATAACAATAAATATATTATGTTTATATTATAAATGTTTTGAAGCAGAAAGCAGACTAATTCAGATAAGTATGTTCTGGTTACACTGCATGAGTGACTGAGAGTATTTGCAATATATGGTAGTATTTTATTTGAGTTACGGGTACATCCTTTCCTCACAGGCGGTCTATGACGGAGATTGTGTGCTTCTCTGCTCCCTCGCTGACTGGTGTGGGCTCAGTACAGATTACCGTCAGTGTGGACCGTGCCCAGGTGAAGGAAAGTCTCAGCTTTGAGTACATTGATGACCCTACTGTACAACGCATCGATCCTGAATGGAGCATTGCGAGGTAACTGATTGCACTTTTGTAATCACACATGTGCACCAGTTCTCTAGAACAGAAGAACATCAACTGTTTGTAGACACTGAGTAGTCTTTATTCGGAAAATATGGTTTAAAGGAATATTCCAACATTTTTTAATCTGATCTTGCCTATGTAACTTATGGTTCATTCCCACTGACAGTAATTTCCCTTTACTTAATAATTTCTATATTAGGAACTCAAAGTCTAAGTCAATTTCTCGATGGGTAAAATGATCTCCATGCCATTGTACCATGTGATAAATAAAATGTACCAGACTCTATATTTTGTCCTTCTGAATGTTACTTTAATTAGGAAGTAATTTAGCAGTCAAAATATGAATAATAACCACATACAAGCTACATGCAATGAAGTAAGTTTCAAATGAAAGTAGTAGTGAACTTTAGCATTATTATATGTGAACATCACCTTTGTCAAACTATAGGCTACTACTGCCAAACCAACATAACAACCATAATTGATAAGGCTTGCTTATCAATGTTTAGTTTGTTTTGGTGAGGTCGTCAGTCCTTTCAGTGCAGTGCACAGCAGTGTTAGCTTGCATATCGCAATATTTATAATTTCAAATCTTCAACCATCTTTTAATGTAGATGATTCATTGACATTCAGATAAAAAAAAATGTCTGAATGGCAGTACATATTGGCTTTGTAACCTTTTTGGTCAGCACAGGGTACAGTTGCAGCAATTTTAGAAAAATTTATTTTTCTCATAGAGAAATATGCTTAGACCCGGAGTTCCTTATATGGGCATGACGCCAACTACAGAATATCAACACAGATTCAGAAGTCTGTATATTATCAGCATAGCAGTCTGAGTGAAGTTTTCACAGATTCCACCTGTAGTTTTGAATTTGCCCTGTATACAGTTGTATGCAAAAGTTTGAACACGGCCATGTTAGCGTTTTGTGGATTGAAAGAAATTAACACATCGTAACACAGAGGGAACAAACTTAAATATGGCATTTTTTCTACTAGTTTTAGTGTAAAATTTGTATTTATTTGCTGGGTTAATAAATAAAAAATAGAACATAAACATAAAATGCACCAAAATACCTCAAACCATTAGTGCTGCTTTTTTTTTCCAATATGCTAATTTTAATGTAGCAAAGAAACAATATTTATACATTTAAATGTGCAGAAGAGGATGTGTACTTATTTTCACTTAACATGAACAAAACATGTAATTTGAAGGTTACCCAAACTTTTGCAAACAACCATAGTCATGAATATATGACTATGAATATGGAATTCAGCAATGTCCTAGTGGTTTCTATTATAAGTGAGTTTTTAAGAAAAGAGTTTTCAGTTCTTTTCAAAGTTCAGGGCAACACATATACATTATCTTCATCAATGCAATGATTCAGAGGCAGCAGAATTTTCCCAGCTAAACTCTGAAAAGTAAATCTGTACTCATTTACTGCCCAAAATCACATCCCAGTTCTAAAACAGCAGAAATATTTGAGTACAGACACCAAATACCTCATATCCCTGGTTTAGTATCTCTTCTCTGGCTAAGTTTAAACACAAGATCAGTGAGAGCAAGCGCCTTGGAACGTCCCAGTGCGTGTCCGTCTGGTGTTGGCTGCTGCTGAATATGCCACTGCAGTGCTGTCAGATTTGAAATTAGCGCAACTGATGAGCACTTCAGCAGGATGGAGCAGGAGACGCTCAGAACATGTGGCAGAGGTGTGAGCCTGGAGCAGATGGCGTGGAAATGGAGTTCAGTTTGAGATCACACAGCGGGGCCTCAGGACACAGAGACAAAAGAGGAAAGAGAGGAAAGAAGATTGAAAAAGGGTGATTTTGGAAGAAGTGTTAATAACCCCACCCCATCCCCCCCCTAAATTTAGTAGAGTACTTGTTTTTTTTTGTTTGTTTCGTTGGGTTTTTTTTTGTTTGTTTTTTACAGCTTCACTTCACCGTAAGTCACAGTTTGACAAAAGCATGTGGAAAGTGGAGATAACACATTTTTATTTGTAAGAAGAGAGGAAATATTTTGATCGTTTGATATTTTAACCATTTGAATTTGACAAAAAGTCACTGTTGTTCTTATAGTCTTGTTTTGCAGAAAGGTAAAAACATCCTTTACATTATGTTATTGGCATTCGCTTTGGGTCGTATCCCCTTTGTTAATAACCTGTCTCCAAATATTACCACTGTATTATAAGGGGGTTGTACAAGATGTAAAAACACGGATACCACATGAGTGAAATTTATGAACAATGAACATTAAACATAAGTGAAATTTTCAGGCATCATTTAATAAATGTCAAATCATGTATCTAACAACTGATAAATCTTAAACAGTGCTGCTAACTAGGAGAGTGGAGCTGGTTAGCATTAGCTTAGCTAGCAGAATGACAGCTCTGCTCACCACAGTTCTGGGTACCTACAGCACTGACACAAGTTTAGATGATAATGATTCAAGTAGCTCACGTTGAAGGGATAGAAAGTCAAATTTAAACCTGTTCGTGTTGTGTTTGGATCTGTAGCCTGATCGGCTAACTTAACATTAGCTTAGCAAGCAGCAAAACAGCGCCACACATCACAGGACTGGTTTAATTCTGAATATCTTGTCAGCTGTCAGCTAAAAGTTCTGAGCTGTCATTGAGACACTATTATGCTTTGGTTTTCAGAGGTTTTTCCTGGCTCTCATTTTCCCTTCATTGTATCAGCACTACCTATCGGTGAGCTCTTACTCCACCATTCAGTGGGTGTCAAATATAAATGGATAGAATGTGTATATTTAGCCATTCAGATGTGGAATAGAAATTTGACACATCATTAAAGAGTCATACTTCACAAGAAAGAGATGTGCTCAGACAAAATGAAACAAAGATGCTGAAAGATGTAGTTGAAGCGGCGTAGATATAAAGAGAGAGGAGGTCCTTTGCTTTTATTGGCTCTAAAGTGAATTTAGACAAGGCAGCAGTACCTCCCCTTGCCCTCTCACATATTGCTTTGGGAACGGTGGGAGTCCAGCACTCGTTCCCCTGAAGCCAGCAGATAAACAAATATAAGGGCAGGTTGGAGGGGAGGGGATCAAAGGCTCTGGCAGAGTGCTGTCTGTGCTCTGGCGTCTCACTCGCTTTAAATGCACCACTAACATCAACCAGACCAGACTGTTGAAGAGAGACAGTGGGGAATTTAGAGTAGGTTGTCGAGGAAATTTCTCTGCCTACGTGTCCCTGTGTCAAAGAAACAGATATGCAGTATTAACTACAACGGATGCTTGACTGACAAATGTATTGCTGAAGATATGTGGTGCGTCAACTGCCAAGAGAATTTACTAATCCTTCAGAGTGACAGCATGAGTGAATGCTAGTAGTTTCAGTCTGCTAAGCAGTTGCTTCTCTGATCTCCCAATGATTTGATTTGATTCCATTCTGTGCATCATGAAAAGTTATTTTTAAAAATACACTGATGCATTTTTATACCTTGGTTACCTTAGTCCAGTCATCCCCCTTCAGTAACCCATCTGTGGAATGGGAACTTAATTTCATTAAAAACATGCAAAATGGCTTCTGGTAATTTTTTTCTGTTTATTTCCCTGATGTTTGGGAACCATTTATACTACACTGTACACTTGATCTAATGTGGCACTGCTAAATTCAGATACATGCTATTCTTTCTTTTGCCTGCTCATATGCCTCAGTAACCTTCACACCTTTCTTTCACCCTCTTGCTCATTTCCAGCCTGACTGATCTATAGTCTCACAGTGTGGGTGTGCTGCAGCTGTACAGTGACCTGGCCCTCCCTCATTATTAACCAGCTCAGATAAGAAAAAAACAATGACAGCCTGGCCAATATAAGCATAGTAAGAACTAGTCCCAAACCGATGTATTGGATATATTGGTTGGAGAATAACATTGGCCAATACTATTGGCTACTACTAATTTATATATTGCCTGTTTTATACTGTAAGGAACACATAGCTGTAACTCCAGCTGTAATGATGGTCTTGGTTTTAACCCACTTACAGATGCTGAATCCCAGAAGATGCTCAACTTTATAACAGCGATACAGGCAGAACTGTCAAACTTGAACACAAAACATCTTTATGGTTAAAGGGACACCCTGGCCAACATGAGTAAATGTAACCATCTGTTGTAAACATGCTTGCTCACCTCACTTTCTACAGCAGTGCCTATAGTCTCTTGAGTGTCACAGTAGTCTCTGGTTTAACCCCTTAAATGGCTAGGGTCCATTTGTGGGCCCAAAGTTTTGTTATACACTTATATGACCTAAGAATTGCTTAGCCAGTTTGCATTGAAGTCCCTGTACTTACTGAATGATAAGCCTTAGTATGTAATTAGCCTGGGACTTTAAGGAGTTAAAGACTGGGAAATCTACTGATGATGTATCTTGAAGGTGAAAGGAGCTTTTGGAAAACTAGAACGGCTTTGGGGTGGATTTTTAGGGACGGTTTTGATTTTCTTTGGTGAATGCAGAAGAAAGCCAGATATCTGACGTTACTGTGATTAAGCCTTGCATCTGTGCAAATGTAATAAGTGTCTTCAGATCATTAGTACAATGGAGAGAATTAATTACCCAAACAACAGACATGACTCATCAGATGAGGACCACAGCAAGCTAAAAGCTAGAGTTAGCAAGCTAGCTACCTGGCTGTCTAAATACTTTACCTCAGTTTGGCTCCTTTCATCTGGCTAAAAGAACAAAATAAAACCTGTCTCTGGCATCTGTTTTGTGCTTATTAAATCCCTGATTTCTGTGTGATTTTGTTTGATGACCAAGCTGAGTGTTACACCAATCACCAATGCTAGCACTACAATATTTATATATAGTTAATTTATACTACTTTTCTATTAATATATAATACTAGTTTCCTATTTATCTGAATTTAAGAAATATGACAAAAAAATTAAATAAATCAGCTGGGCCCTACTTCCTACAGTCTGGGCATTGTAAGAGTACAAAGACCCTTAAAACTAATCAGGAAGTCCCCTTAACACAGTGTGCTGTAGCAGCAGGCAGAGTGGTTCAGACCAGGCCAGAAGAGAGCAGCTGTAGAATTTGCGTGGCACTAACATCACTGGAGCATTGTTGAAAACGAAAGCCATATGGCTGCGCAGCTACAACCCAAGTATGGCTAATGCAGTGCTTGGAGCTGATCATTTTCTTACAACACTTTACTGGCAGTGATTGTAGCAGTAGGAACAACTGGAGGGAGGCCTACTCTCCAGTCCATGTCTCTATGCATGTTTTTGTTTTATATTATTGAGCTGCAGATGACCCCTGAATGTTAACTAGGATCACCGCAGCTCCATTCTTTTGGTGTTTTCAAAGGCACGCCTGCCGCGTTTGATTGCATCTACTGAAGTTAGTTAAAAGCATCTTTAATCATTACCTTCTCACAAGCCTATTATCTTCAGAGCTCCGTTTGACAAAAAGAGCAAGTTGTGAAGGCTGGTGAGTTGAGCAAAAAGTTTCTTTGTGCAAAAGTACAGGAAGTCCTGGAGTTAGTTTTCTCATGTGTGAAGTGTTTATGAAATGGAAATCAGGATGCATTTTTCTTCCATAATGTGACAGACTTTCAAGTGAAACAGGAAAATGAGGTGGAAAAGTATATATGGCCAGGAGCTGATCTTATCAATCAGGATTTGACTGGATAGTGAAAAGTTGGGGAACACTTTGCTTAAACCCTGCTACATAACACTGACGATGTCAGAAACAAGCCATGGCAGATGTCCTATACTGTCATGAGCCTTTATGACAGATTTTGTTCAGTTATATAACAACGTTTGTGTAGTATAACTGTAATATAATATACAGTGAAGTAATCTGGCATAACATCAGACTTTACGATATATGTCATGACCATTGCCAGTAAAGGTAACAAATGAACAAAACAACAAATGACAGCTTATGACTTTTGTTATGACATGATTATGGCATTGTTAGGTACTGTAATGGCAACATGACACTGTTATATTACTGAACAGAACCTGTCATAACAACAATGAGAGGATATGACGTCTTTCCTAACATGTTCATGGCATGGTTACGTCAGTGTTATGTAGCATGGTTCAACTAAGTGTTACCAAAGATAGTTATTCCAAAGTGAACATAAAGTCACTACCAGACACTAGTCTAATGTCCACACCTTCTACAAAATGTAAAAAATTAAATAATCAGGCCATTTTGGGGAAGGGAAACAAGGGTTTTGGTGATGAACCAAAAATGATATTGCTGCATGCAGTATTTGATGTGGAAGTGAAGACAGAAGTGAAATATTACTTAAATTATACAAATTTTTTATATTAAATTATACAGTGAAAAATCTGAAGATGAATTAAAGGTTGGCAAAATTACATTTTGATTGAAGGTTATGAAAAAACACCAAAAAAGGATGATGGGGTTGACCGTGCTTCATGGGAATTGTACATTTTTTATTTTTTTATTTTAAATGGTTAAGATTTAAAAATGCTCTATTAGAAATGTTCCCAAATTGTAAATGTTCACAGCGGTAATGATCTAGACGTTGATCTAGAAGAACTAGACGTTTAAAATGTTTAATACCTCAACAAGTTACATCACAAAAAGTTTTATATGAAATGGCTACAAAATGTCTTTGAAAACATTGTCTAATGGTTGAGACATTGTTTTTCAGTAATTTTGATATTAGATTTTGGCGTAAAACATATTTAAAAACAAAAACATTCATTGTAGAGTGATACGTGCAGAGCAGGTTAACTTAAAGGTGGATATTTTTATTTCGTTTATAGTGGACACACTCCTCTGGTGGTGACCGGAACCAACTTGGACGTTGTGCAGGAACCCAGGATACGAGTGAAGTATGGGGGACGCGAGTCTGTAAACGTAAGTACTATCAAATTGACGGGCTTCAGCCTCTAAGTTATTAATTCTTCTTTAATTCTTTACTCTCCTTTTTCAAAATGACCTCACTTAACCGTGTGCCAGGCTTTTAGGAGAATGGCTCTTTTATATGTGTTGATATCTCAGGCTAATAAAACCAAAATCGTATCAGTTCGACCTCAGAGATGCACAACCTTGTCTTTGCTTTGTCTGCAGGTTGAAGTTAATTATCAGTGACTTCCAGCAGGGAAAGAGCATGACAAAGCCTGTCTTTAGACTGCATTAGAATCATTTTTGTCCTTTCTGTTGACCTGTGTAGGCTAGATGGGCTCTGAGTCACCATCTTGGCTCCAAAAATTACAAACCTCCATTACTCACAAGCCACTGCACAACCTCCTTCAGGGGTACGTATCTCTAAACTGAGATAACTACCCCTCTGAATAATTCAGTGCCCATAAAGTGGTTTGCTTGAAGTGTTTAATTGGAGCATTTTAACCAGCTCAAGTCACCAGTGCTGAGCGGGATTGCCTTGGCTGCTTGTTGTTGTTGTTGTTGTGGGTATAAATGTTCTGCATGAGTTGAAGCATACTGCACGCTGGGAGTTTTGTGGAATTCTGAGTGTGAAAGGGAGCAAGGTGGAGGTTGGTGGACAGAGAACGACAGAGGGGGGTTTGCCTTGATGGGTGTCAGTGGAAGATTAACTACTGTCAGAAGCCTTCGTCACCATAATAAGGGCCTGCTATAATCAAACTGTGCTTGAGGAATCGTTACAATTTGCATTTGTTTTTTTAGTCCTGGGGGTCCAAAGTTTAATTAAGGGAATGTCTGGGCTGGTCAGGGGAGAAGAGCAAGAGATGGCAATGGGTGGTCTCTGAAAGTGGCAGGCAGATACAGCACTGGACTAATGCTGAACAAAATGTCATACAGTTTTCCCTCTATAACATTATACAATATTTTTCTAAACATGATTTTGTAATTAGAGATGGCATGATACCAGTTTTTCTTTGCTGATATGTGTGCTATTTCAGGCTATATCTGTTACAAGTTTACATCAGAGTCTTTTTTTTCCCTCCAATATCTGATCCATCATTTTCTGCTGATATCATTCTGATACCGATACCCAGCTGATATGATATGTCTATTTATAATATGATTCTTTCACTGTTAGCACTCAACAAAATGTGATCTTGCCTAATTGGCCTACATTATTCCTTGATTCGCCACTCAGAGAAACATCTGAGTGGTCTGAATGCTCCAGCACAAACCACGAGAGGCTGTGCGCTATTGCGAATGACATCATGACTGTACCAAAGGCAAGTCCTGGAGATCTTCACAGCCCTGTTATTATTTGTGGTAACACATGGCCTTGAGTGTTCTATTGCTTTTATGCAACAGTTCTGTAAAGTGAAGAAGCCCTGAACATTGTATTTTAAGTGTGGTTTAATATTGGCAATTCCTTCCACCAAAAAAGTAGTAGCCTTGCAGTATCAGATTTAGCTCAGCTTTTTCAATATTTATTGTCAGGTTTAACCTGAATGTTGTTTTGTTCCAGGCAGTCTGTAAAGCATTTTACAGCCCGTCTTTTAGCCGAATTGTATTCTTTCTGTTCATTTCTGGCATTTAAGTTTGTTCTGCTGGCCAAAAAGCCAAGTTCAGAATTTGTTGTAGGCTTTTGTTACACTCTTCCATAGAACCTGACCAAGCATTTGCAGATCAAATATTATTGCATACAAGTTACCTGATATGTCCATTTTCTGTTTTTTTTTGTATGTGCTAAAGTTGAAACTTAGTAATGGTTAGCCGCAGTGTAAAGCTGTTACTAAAGTTGTTGCATTGCAACTGGTGCTCAGTGGAGTGATTGTTTTGCAAAAAATGCTATCACAACTCACAGCATGGGTAGAGCACTTCTCACCCCATCAGACATTGGAGTGAACTGTTGTATAATAACAAAACAACAAATGATTTTATGCAGGATGGGTATGAGTTTGTACCAATTTTACAATCCAAACTCAAGTTTGATGCTGATGTTACCTTCAGACCAAAACACAAAGTGTAGGTCAATAATCAATATGCTGTTTTATCTTCAAGATGTTGTTGCAATTACTAGCAAGGCTCCAAAGACTAATGAGGCAAAAACAATAAGCAAAACCATAAAACACTGTAGAAGGCAGATGAAATTCCACAACAACAACAAAAAAAAATACAAAAAAATACAAGCAGCCTACCCAGCTCCCTAATATTAAGGAATATTTGCAATATACACAGTAAAAATCCCTTTTATCAGTATCACATTCAAGCCAGTTTGATTTAATCTCAAAAAATCTAAAGAAAAATAAGAGCAAAAAATCTCTTGGTCACGGTTACATACAACATGGATATAATAGAGCATGAGGAGCCCTAATGGGATGCAAAAATCCTTCTTCATCGAAAACAACAGTAATCTCTTCATCAATCAGGCATGAGCTCAAATAGATTAGCATCCCTCAGACATCTACAAAGCACACAACACTAGGCGAGAAACACAGATACAGTCATATTTCAAAACCATATAAATTACATCCCTTAGAATGTTGACTAAGGGTTAGAACAGTCAGAACAAAAGAGCTTTTTGCCCCATTTGTTTCGAATAGTCCCTTTCGCTCTCTCATTCACTCTATTCCTTGCTTTTCCTATCCAGTGTTGGATATCAAGTGTGTCAATTTTGGGTAAAGAAGTAGAGGAGATTTAGAATTAATGTACTATGCTATCATTTATTTATGTCAGTGCTTCAACTCCTTCCCTTCCCTATGTGCCATGAAATGGTTCAGAAATTGAGCCTAGTTTGTGCAGTTAGTTTTCTTTTTCAAAATGTCCAAAATTCATCTAAAAATGATTTTCAAACTTGATATGGTCTGATCATCTTGAAACTAGGCAGAAAGAACACTATTTTAAGCATTCATCACATGTGAAGAAAGCATTTAAATGCTTATGTTTTGGATGAGAAACAAATCCATAACATACACAGGAAAGGATTAAAACAACAAGACAAATCATTTTTCTGGCAAAGACCATTTACATTTACACAATGACACATGAAAGGGTGCTTTACTGTGAGATATTGGCCAGCATGAAAGTGCCAGTACGTCACAGTATAGCATGATCTCGAGTATGTTGCAGTGTTGCAGTTATACCACAGTTTCACTATAGATATTTAATATGAAACAACGATGACACAAACACTGATCAACAAAAAAGTGACAAAGAACACATATCCAAAGATACCCCTTTCATTTAATTAATTCAGCTACTTTAAGGTGAACTCATTGCTGACAGGTGTTCAATTCTGGACACACAGCTTGTATAATCTGCAAGATTATAATATATATACATATATTATATATATGTATATATACATATCTCCATAGATAGCATTGCCAATAGTATGGGACACTCTGGAGCAGCCGCACATGAGACTAAGGTTACCATGCTCAGTGCCAAGCATCGACTTACCTAGTACCTTTGGAATGAGTTAAAGTGGAGTGTGTGATCCAGAACTAATTATCCAACATCTAGTGCAAAGCTTTCACGGAATATTAGAGACTGTTACTGCAGCCAGGGGGACAAGAACCTTAACAATACCCTTGGTTTTAGAAGAAATGTTGGACATGTACTTCAGTTCCATTAAACATTCTATTGGTCCTCATTGTAGATAACAACGTGGAGTGATTTGCGATCAGTATTTGGAGATACAAAGAAAACAAAGAAATATTCTGCAGTATTTTTACGTTACTCTTCAAATTTAAGTACATTTGTGACACTGACTGTTAACAACTTTGTACAAAAAGGTTAGGATTTTTGTTTTTGAGTTTTGTTTTTGAGGCAAAATTGGAGTATTTTCATAAGTGGTCTCAGACTTCTGAATATCTTCCAGATAGTCACACTGTAAAATCGGTGAAGTCACACTGTGCTGTAATAAGGTATGTTGATCATACTTTAGTTTTGTGAAATGCCTTCTGCTTTTTAGGATTTTTTTATTAAGGAGCGTGAAAATCCAAGTACTGGGAAAGGAATCGCTCTGTGTCTGTAGCTTTGCTTTGGGCCCGAGTTCTACACATGTACCTGTACGCAGGCACGTTCCCCGAAAGCCTTCTTCTAAAAAAGAAAGGAAATCCGGAACATGATGAGGAATGACAGCAGCTTCACGCTGCAGCATGCTTCACAGAGCCGCCAGTTCTTAGAGGACTGCTGAAATATGGTTGAAGTTGTGTGGGCGCTGCCTGATTTGTCAGGTTCCCTCTTTCTCTGTCTCTGTCTCTCTCTCCGCCTACAACTGCAAGAGGAAAAGACAAAAAAGAGACACCAGAGCTTCCTCCTTTCAAGCACAGTCTATTCCCTCTAACCCCCCCTCCCTCTCTCCAATCAGAACGCTCACCAAAGAGCAGAGTGAGCTTTGATTCGCACCCTGAAAGGGAATGGGTGAATTTTTATTAACCGCCGAGGTTACAATTACACATCTCTTCATCCCCTCCCTCTTGCCTTTGTCGTCGGTGAGAGGCAAACAGCGGAATATCCTGGCAGTCAGAGCCGGGGAGCGTGTCAGTGCGGCCTTCAAATTGTCATCTGCCTCCTCCCCAAATTGCCTCGCCTCCTCTTTCCCCTCCCCACCTCGCTTTACCTGGCAGGATTCTCAAAAGTGATGCGAAAACGGAGACAATTGCCTTTGTGAATCCCGCAGTACCTGTCACCAGCCTACAATTGAGACATTAATCATCGTCCTGATTATGGTGAAAAGATTTTTTTTTTCCTGCCTCCATTTTATTTCTGTGGATGGGGAAAAAAACAGTGTCTAGCACATAGAATGGCAGGCAGAGGCAATAATGACGAGATGAGATGGATTCCTAAAGCATTATCAGCTGCTATCCTAGCTGATCAGAAAGCCACTTCAGCATGGATCTGAAGTGAAGCACTTCAGAAACACATGCAATCAGATGATGTTCCCAGCAATCAGTGTCGAAGACCTCCCC